GGCAGATTTGTTTAGGTAGGATAAGATCCATTTTAAAAATTGGTAAATTAATCAAGACTGTTAGCTGGGCTCAGTGGTTCACGCCTGTAATCCCAGCACTTTGGGAGGCTGAAGCGAGGGGACAGTCTGAGCCCGAGAGTTTGAGACCAGCTCGGGCAACTTGGTGAGACCTTATCTCTATAATAAATCAAAAAGAAAAAATTAGCTGGCATGATGGTACGCACCTGCAGTCCCAGCTACATGGAAGGTTGGGGTGGAAGGTACGCCCAGCAGGTCCAGGATGTGGTGGCAGTGAGCACGGCACTGCACTCCAGGCTGGACGACAGAAGGAGACTCCAACAAAAGAAAAAAAAACTGTTGAAAACTTTTGTTCACCAAGACACCATAAGAAAAATGAAGTCAAGACACAATGGGGAAATATTTGCAAAATACCTGACAAGTAACTTTTATTCAAAATATATCACAAATTCCTATATCTCAGTAATAAAAATCAACCTAAAAATGTATAATACTTAAAAGATGTTAACAGCCAATTAGCATGAGAACATGCTCATCAGTCAAGAAATGCAGATTAAAAAGCTACATGAAATATCTTTATGTATTCAGAAGCCAGAAAACACTTTGGTGCAAATGTACACAGCAGTTTAACTCATATTTGCCAGTGACTGAAAACCAGCAAAGTGTTCATGAACAGAATGGACAAATTGGGGTGTATTCATACATGGACTGGTCCTCAGTAGGAAGGACGGCTAAATCCCAACCACTTATGCTGAGTGGAAACATGACACAAGGTTTCAAGCCAAAAAACAACCCATGGCAAAAAGCAGCGAGGGAAGGGGATGGGGAAGGGGGGGCAGGAGACCCTACCTTTGTCTTAAGAGTGTAGGCTAATGTGTAGCCATTTACCACAATTTAGCCAAGATTTGTATCAGTTTAAATGAATTTTTTTTTTGGAGTCGGAGTCTATCGCCCAGGCTGGAGTGCAGTGGCACGTTCATGGCCATCGCAGCCCCAACCTGCGGGGCTCAAGTGACCTTTCCATCACAGCCTTCCAAGTAGCTGAAACCACAGGAGTATGCCACCATGCCCGGTTAATTTATTTATTGTAGGTCTCTCCATGCTGCCCATACTGATCTTGAACCCATGGGCTCAGGCATTCCTCTCACCTCCGGCTCCCAAAGTGCTAGGATTACAGGTATGAACCATGGTGCTTGGCGTCTAAATTAATTTCTTTTTTTTTTTTTGAGTTGGGAATCTCACTCTGTCCTCCAGGCTGGAGTGCAGTGACACGCTCATAGCCACTGCATCCTTGATCTGCTGGGCTCAGGCAATCCTTCTGCCTCAGTCTTCCTAGGCACGCACCACCGTGTCAAGCTAAAATGAATTTTACCCCAAAAGACTAGCATTTAGTGAGATGAATGTGCTAACGCAAACTGTTGTTGGGACTGGTGTAAAGTTTAACTTACTATTTTTACTTTGTTTGAAAATTCTAGTTATTTACAAATCTATCTTCTGGAACCCTAACTTGTATATCCAATGACACATTAGACATCCCTTGGCAAGTCTCTGATGGTGTTACACATTCGAGTTGCCGGTCTTAAGCTCTGACCTGGCCTCAATTTCATCATAGGGTTCTGTTGCACGTCCAGGAAGTTGGTAGCTGTAACAGGAAGTTGTGCTGGAGTAAGAGTTTGGATACTTGCCATCAATGGAGGGACTAGCAGAGGCCTGTAGAAGGCTCTGAGAAGAGGGAGAAGGCCATGAACTAACTCGCAGCAATGTCTTAAGAAAGTGAGCAACAAAGTGTCTGCAGAACTCACGATTGAGGTTCAGAGACTGTTTATAAACACCTCCCCCATGGCAGGAGAGACAGGTGGAGAATGAAATGGCTAAGGTAAGGAACCAGAAACCCGATCACCCATCCAGAACAGTCATGTTACATTCCATTACCACCTCCAAGGGTGTAATGGAAACGTGATGATTCTTGTGACTCCCCACCCACTTACCCACTTCTGGAAATCAGCCTTGTGTATATAGTAGGTATGGCACATATTTTGCTTTCCTAGGGTCACCACTTACTGAAAATTTGCAAAATGTATTTTCATTTTTGAGTTGGAGTCTCACTCTGTTGCCCAGGCTGGAGTGCAGTGGCACACTCACAGCCACCACAGCCTCAACCTGCCGGGCTCAGGCGATCCTTCCACCTCAACCTTCCAAGTAGCTGAAATTACAGGCACATACCACCACCTGATTTTTTGATTTACAAGAGACAAATCTCTCCATGTTGTTGGTCTTGAACCCCTCTCGCCAGCCTCCCAAAGTGCTGGGATTACAGGTATGAACCACTGTGCCTGGCTTGCGACCTATTTTCTAAGTGAAGCGTACTGAGAAAGACCAGAATGTTATTTCAGTATGATTATTTTCAGCTTGTTATAGATGAGGCTCAAATTCTGCCAAATAAAACGACCAAGCAAGGCATGGTGGTGCATGCCTGTAGTCCCAGCTACTCAGGAGGCTGTGAGAGGATTACTTGACACCCCCGTGCTCCAGGCTGCATTGAGCTATGATCAAGTCTGAGAATAGCCACTGCGCTCTAGACTGGGTAACACCGAGAGACCCTTTCTCTAAAATATATATTTTTTTGAGTTGGAGTCTCACTCTGTCATCCAGACTGGAGTGCAGTGGCCATTCCTGGCCACTGCAGCCTCGCCTGCTGGGCGCCGGTGATCCTTCCACCTCAGCCTTCCAAGTAGCTGGAACTACAGGCGCACGCTACCACGCCCGGCT